CTGTTTCATATCTATGAATCGGACCTTATTAGATGTTATATGAAGTACGGAGTATTCACTATGTTGTGTTTCACACTTGTTCGTAATATAATTTATATGTTTACCGCTTTAATCATGTTTCTGTTTAATTTAACGTTCGTAATGAGACATCACGAACTAACTAATAAAGGTTGTTCAAACAACACACATACTAAATAAAAAAAGCATTTCGCTGTCTAAAGTATTTATGTACAATGAAGAATGAAATGAGTCATAGTACACTAACTAAAAGGCCACATTCTAGGGTATGAAGAAAAAAAGAAAAAAAAAATTCTGATTATCAAAAAGAAAAAAAAAATATGGCACTTTTTTTGGCCGGAAAACGCAGGTCAACGCCGGAGTTTGGTCAAAGGACCCTCCTCAAAACCCAATCGCCATAAAAAGACCTTTTGTGCCACCTTTTTCATAAAAAGACCTTCCTCACAAGGTTAACCACTTAAAAGGACCTTCATCGTAAATTTTCCTTGAATTAAACAAAATGGGTTCAATTGTTAAGGAAGAATTAAAGAAAGGCTCAAAAATTAATTGGGTACACAAAACTTGATTTCCTCCAATTAAAGATCGGCAACAAGCAAGTAATTTGGGAAATTGGGGGTCCATTGAATTGAGGATAGGTTAAATCAACTACAACACGATGAAATTGGGGACCATTGTTTAAACGATTATTCACTAATTTACAACTTCAATTTGCATCACTAATAAGTCAATTGCATCCCCAATGTTGTCCCAATTCGGGTTTTCTAAAATTTATGCATGTCACATCTTTCATTAATTTCACCAAACTTAAAATCTTCTTAATTATGCATTGACATTACTCCATTCATTTATTTTTATTTTATTTTTGCTAATTTGATTTTTAGATTCAATTTTGACACAAATATTTACGAATGAATTAATGTTACAAAGCTACTTTTTTATTACTCCATATATGATACATGTATAAGAGAAGGTTATATATATTTGATGACCTTGAATTTTGAAAGAAAAAAATCGTCAAATTTTGATAAATTATTAAAAAGACAAGTATATTGCCACTAAAGATGTAAGTATAAGCTTAAATGAAACTTTTTATTCATAGGAGGACTTTCCTCCTTACAGTATACCTGTACTACGATGGGATTTAATAGATAGTAACATTTTTTTTTTTTTGTAAAAAAAGTAAACAAGTCTATTCATTTCCCTCCTTCACATTTCTGCTCAGTTTTATTGTACATATTTTGAGCATATATATCTTTAAATACCATGTAACGTAAAATTCATGTTGTAGAAGGTTATTATTTTGAAATTCTCCATTAAGACGGGTAAGAAAGAAGCTTACAAGAGCTTGTAATCCATATGAGTGTAATCTTACTTGTATAATCTAATAAATACTCAGGATTAAAGTTTTTCATTCTTTCTTTAAATGAAATGCGGATTGTATATTTGTATTATTAATTGGAGAAACAAAAGGTGATATGAAGGAATAACATTTATTTGAAGTAACATAATATGGGCTGCGTACTTGTTACTTGGATATCCAAAAATTTATCTTTTGTAATTCGTGAGCAAAGAAAGGCAAGATTTTCAGCAATGCAAACAAATTTGGTGCTTAAGGTTACGCGTGAAAGATGTTCACCATGCAAGTATACATCATTCATTCAATTTACTTCACCAAAAACCACTTATATAATTTAAGTTTGATAACTAGCAACTACAGTACCAGCTGTATGCAATATTGCAATTCATATAATATATGGACATAATTTTTGAGAGAGAGCTTTTAATATAGTAGCTAGAATTTTTATTTTTTTTTATTTAAAAAATTCCTAATATAACAATGCATGAAGAAACCACCAAAAATTATGAATTTACCACCATCTCTGCAACTTTTACTAAACTAAACAAACATTCAACAACCAAATTTCTATTATACAGCCAAGCCTTCTTCTTTGGGCCAAATTCTCAAAAAGTTTTCATTCAAGAAATTTGATTCCCTGCTGTCAAGATTTGCATATTCTGGGTGTTCTTTTAATTTTTTTTTGCCATATGTTACCTCAATTTGGCCACCTTTTCTTTTTCCTTGCTCTACCAATTTTGGGTTTGTTTGGTCAATAATTAGTAAACACACTTTATTTTGGTTTTTAGTATTTGGTGCCAACATTTTTCACGGTTCTTCTTCTTGTACTGTTGTTATACATGCTCGTAAAGTCGTAATACAATATGTAACGACAATTGGTGATGGAGGAAGTACTACTACTAATAGAGATACCTTAAATTTTTTGTGTTAATATTAAAAAAAATACGGAGTATGTATGTAAATTATTTTAATGACATAGCACATAGAAGAAATAGAAAGCATTAGATGACATATCACATAAGCATGTCCGGTATAAGCAAAATTTAGGAAAATATTAAAAGTACTATACTAAAGTGGCATAAGTTTAATTTTGAACAGCTCAATGATTTAATGCAATAAAAAATGGAAGTGGAAAGATAATTTAGTCGAGATTCTGAGCGAAGTGCATGATGAAGATCACTAGCTTTTATTTTTAATTTTAGTAAATTGGGCGCAAGGTCACTAGCTTCTAAACTTACATATGCTCATACAATATTTTAGTACACTTGTATATCTAACGGAGAGAAAATGGAATCAAAATGATTAGAGGTATGTGGTGACCAAATTATTATGTTATTAACTTCATTTAAAAAAAAAATGTGAATAAAACATTGCTTAGTGGACAATAAATCCAATGAAGATAAGATAAAAATTTATACATTTCTACAAATCTAAAACTATTTGAGTATCTGATCTAATGCAATCAATCAAAACTTGACCATTTAAAATACCTGATATAGGTTGTCTAAAAAAACCCCTAATATATTCTCTTCATATAATACTATTTCTCAACATCAATTTTTGATAATTTAGAACTCTAATATTCCCTTGAATACTAAATCAAAGCTATATATGAATCTATATCACCCTAGATGCAAAACACTTTGTAATACAGAACAAAGGGAGTATATGTCGTACTAATTAGAGGTTTAGAGTAGTTGGGTTATTCTTATGATCTCATCACCACCCAATTTTTAATAATTTTTTTTTTAAGGAATGTTCAAATTATGGACCAATTATATTCATGTATAGGAAAATGAGTCATTTATTCCAAACACCCTACACATATCATCGTAAACACCATATATCCATTTTCTACGCAACCCTAATGAACCAGCAAGAACTCCAACAATAAGTCACAAGTCAATTCATAAATTAACTACTCCTATTTGGTCCAACAAATGAGGTTAACTGCAATTTTGTGCTTTGTGTCTAGCAAGTATGAAGCCAAAAAAGAGGGGTGAAATATTAATTAGGGGTGGACAAGTTTAAGCATAAAAGTCTTAAACTAAGCATTAGCATTAGCATTAGCAATAGGGCCCTAAGATAGATTTCAATGCTCTTAAAAATATAGTTAAAGAATTTAAATTATAAAAAAAATAATAATAAATTTTTTGGAAAAATCCTCTTAAATATGGTGCGTTCCAAACTCCAAGCCTCTTCACTTTCCAAAGAGATCTCAAAAGACCAACATACTCCTACCGTCGTATTCTCCAAAAACCCACGAGCATTCTACTATTAAACCCAACGCAATTTTTATATTATGCTAAACAAACATAATCCACATATTTCAGATTTCCTGGTCCCCCACCTGCTACCTTCCCTAGGCCCTCAAAACTTAGAGAAAAAGACATCTTTACAAATTTTTTTAATTATTTTTTTAATTATTTATAATTAGTTTAATTATTATACTAGTTGTTGGGTAGAAAAGAAAGCATAAGGTGTTAATCATCTATAGGAAGAATGTAGCTCTTTACTTTGTCACAATTCCATCTCTATACATGAACTAATCAAATGGTCATCTTTACCTTATGTGAATCATATATCAGCCAAATTGTAAGCAACTAATGAAAAATTGTCGGAAATCTTATTACTCAACTTATTAAAAGTTTCCCGTCACAAAAAAAAAAAAAAAAAAAACTATTAAAGTTTGACCCCTTCGAGAGGTGTGTTATGACGAGTCCAATATGAAAAGAATTAGTCTGATTACACTCTTAAAAGTTATAATAATAAATTCGTAATAACACATTGATTTAGAAAATCCTCCCACATATAAATGAGATTACGAGTAAATTTATTTCAGCATGAAATTAGATGAATAATAATCATATAAAAATAATCCTTAATAAAATCCTCTCCAATGCTAATAATTGATTCGTTGTATGAACCTATTGATTTCAAAATTTCTCTTAGATAGAAAGATACAGAGTATCAAATCAGATGAATAATAAACCTATGAAAAGAATCCACAAAGAAACTTCGCAAATAGAAAGACATCAAATAAGATTTCGGTATGAAATCAAATGAAGAATAGATGTACGAAAAGAACCCATAAAGAACGGCCCGGAACAATGAAGAGAGAAACAAGTAGGTTTGCCCCCTTGCCAAGGGAAGCAATGCACCAAATAACCAGGGAGCTAGAAGTTTGGAATGAGAAGGGGGCCTAAAAAGACTTGATAATTTGCATAGTAGAATGGAGTGTACAAGACAAATTCAAAGAACCCCATCGTTCCATCTGTCCCTTACATATAAAAAATAAAATATAAATATAAAAAAGGGAAGTAATCTAGGACAATTAGGAAGAAACGAAAATCCAGATTTCAATAGAAAAGGATGGAATTGAAAGTATAATTTGGGAACAAAGTCAGTTGCTCGAGGAAGGAAAAAGAGGGAAGAACAAGCCAAATTTAGCACTCAAATCAAGCATTACATATCCTTTGAAATTCCATTATCACAATTTTCATACATATAGAAGCAATTTAGAAGCAATAACTATATAAATTAGATTTAAATATCTCAGTCAATCTTCAGTCAAAGCTTTTTACTAGCCAATTACAACAATCTCATTTCATAGAAAACATAGCCCACCATATTATTAAAATAAGGAATTCAAGAATTTTTGTTTTATTGTTAGTGTTTTTAATTAAAAAAATAAAAATAAATGAAATGGACAATTCCACAAAAGTAACAAATTGGAAGGAAGCTCATGAAATTTGCATTGTTACTTAAAAAGAGTTTGTCCACTCTCTCATTCATCATCTCTTGCTTCCTTTATTTGAATTTTAATTATTTTTGGTTAAATAAAAATTTGATGAAATTCCCACTTAAAAATAAATTCCTTTCTGCCCATTTAACAATGAAAATGGCAGATTACCAATCATCCTTTCCCCTCTAAAGGAAACACCCATCATTGCTCCCAACAATCCTTTTCAACCTTTGAAACCTGAGCTTCTAAGATATTCCAATTCCTCCCCTCTTCAATTGCATTCCAATTCAATTCAATTCAATTCCCCTTTTTTTCATTTAATTCTATCAAAAAAATATAATTAAAAAAAAAAACTTTTTTTTTTCCTTCTCAATTTAAATACCCCCTTCTTTACAACCTTTTTCCTTCCCCTGCTTCTTCATTCACTCACTTCTCAACTCATAATCACCAAAATTCTTTCTCTTAAACTTTCTCTTTTGGGTTTCGGTGTCTCTCTCCTCTATCGTTAAATTATGGATCCTAGTTCATCTGTAAATGGGTTTTACACCTTCTTAACCAGAGGAATAGATGATCTAGAAAGAGTATTCCTTTCCAATAATTTCATGTCAATCCAATTCCTTCAAAGAACTCTTTCTCTTCTTCGATCATTTCATTCCCAATTAACTCTTCTTGTCCAAAAACTTCATCTTCCCGTTGGAGACAAATGGCTTGAAGAATACATGGATGAAAGCTCCAAGCTTTGGGAGGCTTGTCATGTCTTAAAATCCGGCATCTCTACCATGGAGAATTACTACTCTTCCGGCCTCAACATCGCTTCTTCTCTCGATAACCATCGCCATATCACTCCCCAGCTCTCTCGCCAGGTAATAATAACTCACACGTTCAAATCTCTCCATCCCAATTTGTATTTCAAATTTATGTTCTGATTGATCGGATTGGAAAAATAAATAAAAATACAGGTGATTCGAGGGCTATCAGGATGCAGAAGAGAAGCAATAGGATTGGAAGAAGAAAACAGAGCGTTAGTGGAGACAAGAATCCAAGCACTATCACTAAGAATGGATGAAAAAGTATTAATCGAATCGAAATTGAATGGATTCAATGGGTTCAGAGGAGTACTTTACGCGATGAGAAATGTAAGCTCATTACTACTAATGATCCTACTTTGTGGACTAGTGTACTGTTGGCCGGAATCAAGCAACTTTCTGAGGGGAGGTTATGATGATTACGAAGGGTGTGTGATATTCGGGTCGGGTTTTATGGTATCCACAACACGACTACAGCAAAGGGTAGGAGGACAAATAAACCAGATGAATGGTGGAGGAAGAGCAGGGGTGTTGTTGTACGAGTTTCGAAGATCGAAGGCGGCCATGGAAGAGCTCAGGGCAGAGTTGGAGAGGAAAGGAGGTGAGAGAGTGGAATGGGAATCTGAAGTGGGGATTAGAGATAGAGTGGACAATTTGAAAGGTTGTTTTGGAGTGTTGAGATCTGGTGCTGAGAATATTATTAGCCAACTTGATGATTTCTTTGATGAAATTGTTGAAGGTAGGAAGAAACTTTTGGACTTTTGCAGTCACAGTCACAGGTAAATTTAATTTAATTTTTTTTTTTTTGGAAAAAATCTAGGAAACCCCCAAAAAAAAAAGAAAAAAGAAAAAAAGTTGGAATTTGCTGGATTGGAAACTATCAGAGATCAAGCAAAGAAATACAGAGAAAACAAAAAAAAAAGGAAGAATGAAGATGACACAGTCAAAAAGAAAGAAAAAAAAAATGTTAAGTAAAATTAAGAAGGAATTGAAGAAGATGGGTTTTGGTTGTAATTTTAATTGTTGTTGTTGGTAAAGGCTTTTTTTCCCCACATTTTGCTCAACATGGTTTCCTTAGTGCACTTAGCAGCAACAACACTGATGATGAATCAAGGAGGATGTGTTTTTCCCAAAAAGCCCTTGTGTTTTTTTTTTAATAATTTATTTAATTATGTTTTTTTATTAGATGAGAATATTATTAGAGTAGGAATGTAGTAGTAGTAGTAGTTTCTTAATTTTTTGTGTTCAGCAACTAGTATATGATTCCATACTGCTGTAATCAATCATTTTCTGAATGTAGAGGAGTTTCAATGTAATCTATAAAAATCAAAACTTTCACAGTTTTTTTTTTGTAGTTTTTTTTTGTTTTTTTATTTTTCATTTCATTTTATTTTATTTTATTAGATTGTTATTCAAGTCAAGGATGAAATAACATAAGATGGGCACACAGATATGGTAAGTGGTATTCACCTCATTTACTCAAAAAAGAAAGGGATGGAAGGTTCTTCCAATTTTCTATTATCAAAGTCAAAATACCAACTATTTTTTTTTTTTTTTTTTTTTTTGACTTGTGCTTTCTTTTTCACCAGTACTAAGATTTTTTTTTGAAGAAACTAGTACTAAGATTTTATTTTACCCACATATTTTTTTTATCCTTTTTATTTTAAATTTAGTTTGTGAGATTGCCTTACATTACTGTTCCTTCTCAAGGGAACTGAAAGGAGTGCGGTCAAGTTGTGGCAGTAAATGACTAATCATTTCGGTTGAGAAACAATCATGAATTGGAGTGGGTTTCAACAGTAAAAATTAAAAATAAAAAGATTCCTGATTTTTACTGTATTTATTTTACTGTATCATCAAGTTTTAACCTGATTCGATTCTATTCTTCTTCACTCATGAAAGCAATGGAAGTGATAATGACACACTCTCTCTCTTATATCTGACTTCCAACCTGACATTGTCTCTTCTGCGCCTGCCTTTCTTTTCTTTTCTTTTTTTTTTTTTACTCTCAATTTAGAAACAAAGAAAGAAAAAAAGAAGCGTGTTTTTTCTGGGTTTGGTGTGTTAGTCACACCCAGAATGTTGCCCATTTCTGAGGGGGATTTTTGTGGGAGGCAACATTATATATTTATAATTAAGGGGCAACCCGACTCTAATCCGACCCGATTAGATGTCATGCTTTTTGTCCCATCCCTATTTTTCATGCTTTGCCTCCTTCATGGGCCTCTCACGTAAGTTCCTTTTTTTAATCAATAATTCAATACTCCGTATTTAATAAATAATATTAATTTCTGTAATTCTTGTTAATTATAATAGTCTTTAATCAATGATTTACTGTTTGATAAAATATAATGTGGGATGTAAACATAATTTTTTGTTTGGTAAGTCAGACATTTAATGTAGCAAGCAAGTCTATGTTTAGGTGTGTTAATCGAGCGAATCGATCAGGAACTGATGGGTGCTCGACTCAACTCGAAAACTTTTTACCTGTGATCAACTTGTGCTCGCTAAAGTTTCGAGTCAATAAAACCTGCTCGACTCGTATTCGTTAAAGTTTCGAGTCGAGTTAAATATCTCACGATCTGCTTGTTAAGGATTTGATCATTCTAAAATTATAGGCCTAATCTTTTTATAAACGGAGAGAGAACGAGATTCTCACTTGATAATTGAATGCCATTTGATCTTTTATGTATCTATTGTCATTCAACGTTTATGAAAAGTGTTAACTCCATTATTTGGTGATTAATATTGTATTGTGAAAAATATTATATGAAAAGCAAAGTCAGGGAAAGAGATATCTAGTGCACAACAAGAATGAAGAGAGTTAAAGCCCAAAACACAAAAGGATGGCCCAAATACAAAAAACACAAATAAAACTGAATGCAACATATCAACATCGATTACCAAAAACAACAGAGAGGCTCGCTCATATCATCATAAATGAATATCATCATGACAAGTTAAATATACAAGTCACAACACCAAAGACAAACCATAAACAAGCAAAATATACTACTGATACAAATTAAAATACAAGAAGACAGAAAATAAGAGTAGTGTAAAAGAGGATGATTATAAAGACAAACCAGTCCTATGAAATTGCCAAGATTTCTTCAACTTCAGTAAACATGGCGAATAAATGTTGAAGCTGGCAGCAGAAATAAAATGATGGTATCCATGTTAAGGAATCAACCATGATGAGATCCTTTCTGCAGCCTTTCCATGTCTGTAAAATTCACATGCATTTCATGGCCTTTTCCAATATCATTTGAGATTTTTCTTACTCCAATGTAGTGTACCTAGACAAGAAGACAATTTTTTGAATAAAATATGAAAAATCAAGGGAAATCTTTCACCTGATTATAATTTTTTTTGAAGACAAGTTTTTGATTTTATTTAATAAAAAATAATAACTTCTGTAATCCATTTCAATTATATTTAATCAATAATTATTACTCCGCATTTAATAAAATAAAAGTGTGGATGTAAGTCATTTTTTGGTAAGTCAGCAGCCAAACAAGTGAATGTTAAATGTCATGCTGGTGGACTTGCCAGTTGCTACTTCCTAGTTCCTACAACAAGATTGTATATATAACTATGTACTTTGTAAGTGTTAAGACTTAAGACTATGAGGTAGGGTAGGAAACAAACCAACCCTATAAAATTACCGGGATTTCTTCAACTTCTGTAAACATGATATTAATTAATACTACTTCACAAATGATATCCATGTCTTATAGAAAAACAAGGACTGATTGTGTGTATTGTATACCTTTCACCATTGAAAATATAAGTCTAAGAGTTTGTGAGGGAGGGGAGAGAAAACACAATACCCGCTTCAATGGTGGAGGGAGGGGAGAGAAAACACAATACCTGCTTCAAGCCTTCAATGGAGTACTAAATCGTGAAAAAGGAAAGAAAAATTGAAAATGACATATTTATCCTTATTTTATTAGTTTAACAAGACAATTTTAACCCCATGAGATACATTCCATGTGTATCAAGTGAAGAAGCGAAACATGGAATTACCCTTTTCATGGCTTCAGAATGCTAAGGAGGTTGACAGTATCACTGGGTTGTAATCAACTTGAGGAGTAGTTAGAACCAAACATCTTTTATCAAAACAACAACAAGAAGCAGCCAATCTGAGCATCCTGTCATCGTCATCATCACTAGAGGTGGTGGATGGTAAGACATGTCTGCCAAACCCGAGAACCCCGTGGTTAAACCTCAATCCGGAACTGGATGAGAAGACCGGGTGCATTGTGGACTCATTCTACAGCCTGGTAGAGAATAAGGTTGTGAGGCTAAAGCGAAGGGAATGTCTTGGTATACCCTGCATCGGTAGGGGAATGGTTAGCCTTGAGGATCCCCAAGACGAAAGCCACCCCATCTATTTAGCCAATCCATATTTCAGTGCTGAGGATATTAATGCCATCCGCCTGCCTTCCTTGGCTAGGGGTCCTATTGAAATTGCAGATATTTTGAACAAGAGAAGAGTCAGGAACTCAAAGATTTGAGAGAGATTCGTCATAGAAATCATATCTTGACAACATTTGAGGATAGCGAGTCTAATGATGTCGTGCTCATTGTTAGGCATTTGGTAAACAATGATCCTCCGAAGGGGCATGAACCCCCAATAAAAACTATGCACTTCGACATTTTCAAGGTTCGACTTGCTCAGAAGGAGTTGATACGTTTGACAACACTAGAAGACCGATGTGTTTTTATTGGTCACGATCAGGCATTTTCTCTATGTGCTAGTAAGTATCCAGGTTTACACCCCAATTCCGTCTACTTCATTGATCCAAGTAAGACTTATTGGGAGCATAGTGACCGCGGGGTTTTCAATTTGAACAATAACACAATTGAACCTATTTCATGTTCGTATACTCCAGCATACCCTCTTGATAAAGATCTAAGCAAAAGAAATCCCAACTGGAAAAGAGATCAAGTATTTTTTTGGGTTGCCCCCTCCAACCTTCATCATTAAGCAGAAAAAATCAACATAATAAGCTTAAAAAAAAAATTAAAAAATAATCTTTAAAATCTTACCGAATATGAATGTAATTTATCTTGTTCTCTAAGATAATATCTTAAAATTTTAAGAATATGAAATTATGAAGTATATTGTGTATTCAGTTAATAGCAATGACCAAATTACTCTAGATTTTCAATTTTCACCAAAGAACAATTCATTCATCTTGTAAACATCAACTTCAGCAAAATGCTGCATGACATAATAATTGATGCTTTCCTTGTGTGTGTATGTTCACAAAAGGGTGGATGAATGCTAAGAAGCCTAAAATAGGTTATGAACTATCACGACCAACGAATCATTATAGTATAAATACTAAGCCAAAAGTTCTTCACATTCAATATTGCATTGTGAATCAATGTTCATCCATGCCAGCAGCTGCGGCGGGTTGCTCCAAGGATATTTGAGTGGCTGTTTTATCTATCTTCCTACCAGGACCTGAAGAAACTTTTACCATTGCTGGTCTCAAAAGTTGATCACCAAGGAGAAAAGCACGTCTGAATTCTTGAATTATAATGCCTTCCTTGAATTCTTCAGACTCCTCTCTGGCAATGGCCTCGTGCAACTACAATAAGAAACAAAACAAGTTCAAGATGCTTAAATTTAACACTAATAGAGTAATGCGTATCAGAGCCACAAATTATGTACAAACTTCCACAGAGTTACTGTTAATATATACCAATGGTTTAGACTTTCCATCATTGTCGATCAAGGCAGCAATAAAATATTGACTTCAGCAGAAACTTGAACAAATCTTCAATAATTTTACCTAAAAGTGTTGACACTGGCCTATGTGAGTACAGACTACAGAGTTGGTCAATTTTTGGTTTTTGTTCTTTTTATTAAGAAGTACAAAGTAGCTTTTACAGTTCAAGAAGTGGTAATAGGTCTCCAAACCACACTGACTGATGTCGCCAAAGCCGAAGAACCTTCTGACAAGGCAACAAGTGAAGGGGCCATTGGGAATCGCTTTCCCAGCATGGATGATCTAATTTCAACACAACCCTTGTTTTTACCTCAACTGCCATCGTGTAAATCCTAACTAAGTTGCCATCTAGAAGTGGCATGACGATCTGGCAATATATATTATTCTCACTGTATCTCCATGCAAGGAGCATTATCTCCACCATTAAACATGACAATGTGAGCAGGCAAGCAAATGCAGCTACCCTTGACCGAGTGAGCTCGGCCAATGCAATTGTAAGTACACTTCATGTAAAAAAGGCAAGTAAGTAGCACGTAGAAAATGAGTAGTAAGCATAGAAATGGAGAGAAAAACACGCTGAAATCAAGAGATTATAAATTTGCCAAGTCAAACCAGTGTCATTCTTAACTGTAACTCTTAACTTCTTTTGTACTGAATGGCTCTATGAGGGATGTCTCGATAGAGGCCTAACCCGCCCAACTCCACTCCTCTCATCCCATCTAAAGCTTATTGTGAAAAAGGAAAAAGAAAATGAAAGAACAGAAGTTCTAAATTTGGTTGCAAAGGTTACAACAGTAAATAAAACGAATTCACAACCAATTTCACAATCACAAGTTCACAACCAATAACAAGCATGCTTAGGAAAGGACTACTGAGCTTCCAGCAATAACTCAACTAACACCATCTAAACTAGTGAAAAACTGGAACAGTTTTAGGCTTTTAGAATATACGATGTAAAAGTTCTATGTAGCCTCAATTATCTGAAAGCATTTTGCAGGTAAAGCGAATTCAAATCAAATGCTAAAGAAAAATCGTGAATGAGCACAGGCTTAGAAAAGGTTATAGTTAGTGATCAATGATAAAAAGGCTTACCGATGGATCAAAAGGCTTCCCTACTGTTGCAACGACAGCAACACGCAAACTCCTCATGATCTCTACAAACTGCTTGTAAATACCTTGATAACTCGTATCAATCTGTTTTTCCTTATCTGTTTCTGGTTTGATTTGTTGCTTCGCCCTCTCAAAATTGTCCACCATTGGCAGAAGACTCTCAATAACTTCACCTTGTGCATTGCTTCGAACTGAAAGTCTCTCCTTCTCTGATCTCCTTCTAAAATTATCAAAATCGGCTTGCAGTCGGATAAACTTCTCCTTCCCAGAAGTTATCTCTTCTGTCAATGTTGATAATCTTTCTTCCAATTTGTTCTTTTCGGTTTCTAGTCTTAATAATACAGTCTCTATTTCTGTAATGGTCTGATAATCCCCAGCTAAAACAGCCTCCTTATAATATTTAGTGAGAGTTTCAACACTTTCCCACATCCTCTTAGCACCTGCCTCCCCCCTTTCCCCATCTTCCTCCTCTAGCATTCCTTCATCCATCTACAATACCAATAATAATTTTCAACCATTGAAATACATCCACTTGCTTTTAATTAAATGGAGAGTTTGAATTTCCAAAACATTATAGTTGCACAATTTATTCATCAACCATTATAAATGTATCAACCATTATTGCAGGTAAATTTTTGGCATCATAGACTAAACTTCAATTCAATATAATATGAAGCAAAATATTCCAGCAGCTTATGATACTTCATCATAACATATCAATAACAATGACATACTACTAATATTTTAGCCATAATTCTTTCAAAAATTGAATTCCATCCTAACAGTTTTCTATAATCATAGACTAAATTCAATCAATCAATCAACAAAATTTTCCAGCAGCTTATGATATTATACATCAGCAACAGTGTCATTAAGTAATTATTGAAACATAATTCTTTCAAAGAAGAAATAAATCCCATCATAACAGTAACAATTTAAAGATAAAAAAACCCAGAAAGTTTGCAACTTTATTAACAAACTATTTAAAAAAGAGAGAGAAGATAGCTTACAATGTTAGAGAAGCAGCACCTGAAATCATGGCGGTTGTGAAGAAGAAGAGGAGGAGAACAAGAGAGAGAATTTGAAATAGAAAGATGGTTAAATTTGGGAGAAGATTGGATAGGAAAGATTAAATGTTTGTGGGATTTACAAAAAGGGTATATTTGCTTAGCACTTCAAATTAAAGGAAGGGTACTTGTGCTTGTGATTGAGAGAGATGCCATTGAAATTAACAGAAGAATGAATGTGGGAAGCGAGAGAATTTGATGAAGACAAGGAGAGCTCTGGAAGGAGGTTCTTCTACTGATTTTGCAAACACTCTCCCGAGAAAATTTGATTTTTACAAATATTAATTTGTTTATTTATTTTCCTTTATTCGAGTGAAAAACGGCCAAAAGTCAAGAGGATAACTGGTTAACACGAATTCTTAATTATGAGCTTTATCGGCTTTGGCGGATATCAATTTTTTTTTTTTTTTTTTGAAACAAATCAATTATTAATAAAAATTCATTCGGCATCTACAAATGAAATTTAAATTAACAAACACATAAAATTGAATTAAATTAGGGTTTCCTTATCAAAGCTACGATCGTTGAAAAGATCTAGCACTGTGGTACGTCTCTCGCACACATCGCTGGAATATACAACCTTTTCGGAGAGACGATCTAACAATTTGTTGTAGTCATAAGGATGATTTTCATTTGATTCGCTTGAACGCATTTGAAAACTTGACAACCGTTGTGATTCGAATAAATTTTTACCAACGAATTGACTATAGGGCAAAAGATGATTACCTTTCTCATAAACCCTAGCACAAACAAACAACTAAGCTAACAAAAACTAACGACTCTACTATAGGGAGACAAAGTAGTGTAGATTTATTTCCGGCCTAAACGAACAAGATTTTGTATAAACCCTAGAAGAGAGGCTGGCGGACATCAATTTGATTCAATAAAATGTCAAAGAATATGGTTCTTATAAGATTTGAACCCACGATTTTAAGTTTTAATTATAAAATATTAGCCACTAAGCTATTACCATATTACATGGTATTTAATAAAGATTAAATATTAATAAAGATTTTTATCATAGAAATATACAGTAACTGATGCCCGGGCCTAAATACTAGTTATCACGTAAATGGGGTCACTAGTAGGGCTTGAAGCAATTAGTTCCCTAGCCATAGGGGCGTGAGTAATATCCCGTATTATTAAGCCTATTTTTTTATTAATTATAATTATTTAAGCTTAAATACGTTTTTTCTTTATTTATTTATTTTTGATTTCGATGAGGATAGAACTTCCAAAAAGAAATAAAAACAAAAGCAAAGAAAAAACAACACATCAAAAAGAACAAAAATTACCTACAGAGGGACAAGCCGTGGAAAAGTCACGCTCCTAGTATCCTCTTTTAACACCCTATTAAGTATGGAGCATTTTCTTATTTATTTACTTATTCGAATTTCAAACTTTATTATATATCTTATTTTAAACTATAACTATTCTATTAAACTCTAATTAGTTAATAATAAGAAAATTATATTTCCTAACTTTAATTATTAAGTTATTTTTTAAAGAGTTTAAAATGATATTAAACAATATAGTTCTACAAGAATGAACACCAATATATAACAACTTTGAACAATATTAATCATGCTTGTAATCTTTGAAATATACGTTCATTTATCATTTTGAATTTGGGAAGGATTTGGAAAATTAATGAAGTAGGACTCCTCTTCATGATCTGTGTCAGTAGTGAGTACTGACAATGGGTCAACATTGTGGACAATGACAATAATAACAAAGAAAAAAGAAGGATGAAAAAGAGGAAAACAAATGTATAATTTGAAACTGTACCCAAATCCCATTGTCAAACATTATATGTACAAATTCATTTTTTTTTATTTTTAAAAAGGATCATATACAAGTAGATCACAATATTATTATCTCTAGAAAAGACTGTCATTTCCCCTCAAAAAAAAAAAAAAAAAAAAGACTGTCATTGGAAAATGTACTATACAGTATACTTGTAAACACTTGATAATTTGACATGATTGAACCACTTGATTCATTTACCACCTTCCCCTCTGCCGACTTTCCTCTCCATTTATGTATCTGAGATTGACATAGATAGAAGATCTACTCATTACCATTCTTATCAATCTATGACAGCAAGGTTGTTTCGAATAACATACTATCGAATATAAGTAGTAAAAGATCATGCTGATACTGAAACCATCAAAGCATCGACTGGAAGCCTACGACAACAAACACTAACAAAGGGAGAAGCAAACACGGCAACTACCAACTGCTGTGACATGCAAAAGAAAGAAAATCCACGTAAAAAAAAAAGTACGCCAACTTGGGAAGCCCTAATGGTTTTTCTCCATCCGAGGTATGGAGTAAATTTACATCATGTCCAAATCTAAAAGCACTCCACCACAAAGCAAATTATTTAGACTTAGTTTGATAAGCGTCTCTAAGATAAAAATTTACAACGCCAAAACAAACCATACTAGGTGAAAAACGAACTACCATCAGCAAGCTACATAGGTCCAATACTAAACTAGAAATTGCGTGGTGCGTGCCTCTACTCACCGAGCCACATACCTGAAACTGAGAAAAAAAGAAACTGTCACTTCCTGGAGACTTTGCAATGGTCTATAATGTAAGACTTGAGCATTTAATTTCCCTACAGGAAGTTAATTGGATTTCACTTTGCTTTGTTGCATGAGAAGCATTTAACTACAAGCAAATATAGAGTTACTACCCATACACATTATACACCTTTATCAAAAATAAAAGACAAATGTAACAAAAATGCAAAAATATATCAAGCTATTGGTCAGCCAAAATATCATATGATTTCACCACATGCAATGCTAAAGAACCATGCCACCATTATCAAGGTAATTGAGACCATGTGATAAATGCAAAAGCTAACCAATTCAGGAGCCTTATGCATTTAACAGATGAGATATTTAGGTGCAGAGATGGCCTAAGAACCAATAAGGTGTATTTAAAACACAACGGAGTTCCTTTATCAACAGAAGAAATGAAAAGACACAATTTAAAGCAACTGTACATGCTTTTTGAGAAGGAAACTAAAATGCAGTCAGGATAAATAAAACATTTTATCATAAATTATCAAGATGTATACCTGTACAACCTTCTCCCAATTGCCAACACATTGCAAACCGCCATTCACATAGCAGATGGTTTCATCACAGGGGGTCTCTGAGATTCAGCATCACATTCTGTACAGCTTATGTCATCCGTATCTGCAAGAGGCTGCACCATATGAATGGTCTTCCCAAACAGCTGAAATGAAGTGACACCTTGTCTAGTTACGTTGCATGAATGACGCCCAGTACTCGTCGAACCAAAGAGTTGCACACTGTTGTGGCTGTCAGGTGAAGGTGTCTCACAAGATGAACTGGCAACATTCGGGTTTGTGGATACACCTTCCACTTTCTGTGACATACTACTGTCCATATTATCATCAGGACCCCCCTGATGAGAACTGTCATTCATGGTGGTAGATGAACTAGGTAGATAAATACTAGGAAATTGCCTGGCTCCCTGCATGCCTGCGGGAAAATTGTTGTAGTTTATAAAGGATGGGCTTAACGGGCCCATCATCATTGGACCGAATTCGATTGGAGGAAAGGAAATATCTCCCTTCCCATCAGCTAGCATTACAGAGTTCTGCACACCCTTTAACTTTTTGCCAGGGTTAAATGTAGGATGAATAGGTGGTGGTGTTGGAGCAATACACTCCAATTGCCATGGACTAAGCATCTTAAATTCTTCCATCTTATCAGCCTCATCCCAAGCAACCTGCAAAGAATTTATTTACGAGTGTTTCACATCCCAAAATCCCAACTAAGTAATACTTACAGCTTAATAATTTAATTACAGGCCAATTACAATGCCTCAACTGGTAAACTAAAAATGACAATGCTTGTACCAGAGAAACATAGATAAAGACATGATAGCCAGGCACGCAAGGACTGCCCCCAAGCAGAAACAGCAACACCTTGTATAAGCTCATTGCACATAAAACAAACAACTTTAACACGAATATAAAAATTGTCACAACAGTTCATATAATGATGTCTTGGGTGAAAAGGAAACAAATAGCATTGATGCAGAGTGAATGCAATACTTCTCTAGATTTCAGAAAAATATCTTTGGAAACACTCATTTAGCAGTATAAAAAAAAATCGACTGTTAAATCAAAAGCTATTCATACACTTGCTTCATAATGCTAAATAATTCATTGGATTGTGAAGTCGATTTTCAAAAACCTTCGAGAACCCCCCTCCTTTCTCTGTATCATTTGAAATTGGAATAGGAACTGTATCAACAGCACTATTACTGCGTGTAATTTACTTCCACACAAATGAGGGATCAAGAAAATGCCTGACAAAAACTACTAGATCAACACATTGTAATCATCACAACAATACCTCTCGCCGCATATAGTTGGATAATTAAGGCCTTACAACAATTTCATAATTTAAAGCAGAATGTCATACTTTCAGAAAACAACAATGAGGAACATGAGAAACATTCTAGACAAATGATTGGGAACATGTTGGAATACCATAATTTTATTCAGTAATGAGGGAGAAAGGGGTTGGCCGGGTGAGGGAAGAGCCCAAAAGTTCCCCATGTGACTACAATTTCTGGGCAGATTGGAATCATTAAATAACTCCCAACATTTGTTGCTAAAGCACGACACATACAAGAATCTATAATAAGGTTAAAATTGCTGTATGCAAAGTGTAAAAATCCATCTCTTGGTGATCAGATAAGTCACAGGATCTGAATAGTATCCAGTTTAAATCAATTCAAGTCTTCAAAGTAGTAGATAATTTATCAAATTACTTATTTTTGACCAACCAGATACATAGGAAATTCAGAAAATTCTAAAACCTCTATAGAGGAAGCACCCAACCATAAACCAACATCAAGTCATCAACTTTCCCAAAACGATCACTTCCTCGCAAAATCTCAAATCGAATTCTCTAAAGAAACCACCCATGAAAGGCCAAGAAAATATTCATGACTATTTGATTCAGTCCTAAACTAGTTAAACCCTAAATGGCTGAAATATAAGTCCTAAAAATCGTCTCTTTGGAGGGAGAATCACAATTACACATAAATTGCTCAATAACACCATCACAGAAGCTTCAACAAAAAAAAAAAAAAAAAAAAAAGTATGAAAACAACATAGTCAAATTACAGTTGTTCATTTCTCAACATACGAATATGATAAAGAGGAATTGATTAGCAGACATCTGAATGAAACAAGAAAACGAGAATACTTGCTAAACAAAATTACATGTATAGCAGAAAATCAAGGGGAAGATAAATCCTATTTGTTTTTTTGTTTTTTTTTTTTTTAATTCAATTTTTCCAAGACCAACCTTTAATTTATAATATTATCAAACAACTTGAAAATGATGAAAGTAGAGTAAATTTCAAAATTAAATCTCATTATAAGGACAAGAGTTCAGTAAAACAGACAGATTCAAACATTTAAACACTGTATGATTCATGTCAATAACAGTTATAGCACACTCATCTCCAATGAATTATTTTAAACATCCATAGAATTCCTATTACCATTCCTACAATCAACTGCATTTCATAATAATAGCATACCAAATAATAATAATTAATAACATAAACATAACTAAATAAACAAAGTAAGCAATGGCAAAACCTGAAGCATCCGCCACGGAGAACCGGGCCAAGGCCCTTGATCAGGACCAGGAACCACAGAAGCAACCGTCCCATTAAACCACGTCGGCTTTGGGCCTCCATCTTCGATTTGCCGGGCCATTTTAACCCGAATTCCATTATTCCAAAACACTCCCCAAGCCTCCTCCACCTTCTCAGCTGCCACCACAAACTCCGGCAACCCACCCCTCGAGTAATACACAACCTCGAACGGCACATTACTCGCCGCCTTCTGAATCGCATCCACTATCGCATCCTCCGGAACCCTCCCCCTCACATTCCTCGAAAACACCCCAATCGTCCGGGGTTTCGGCGGCGGCAACACCACCCAAGACGAAACACGGGCATTCGGCTTCGGCAACGGCTTAAACGCCCTTCGAATCCCAACAAACAACTGACCAGTGACCTTATTCTTGATAAAAACAGCACAATCATTAGCAACAAGATTCTTGCTATTCACAAACTTACTCCACCCAGAAGTCAACAAATGTCTCCTCGGAGTCCCTCTGTAAATATGCCTAAATGGCCACTCAACTCCATGAACATCAAAGATTCTCAGATTCTGCACTGGCGGATCATCCTCAAAATTCAATGCCGGAAAAATCGACTCAGCACAGTACCTCGGCACAGAAAACCCACCTCCATTATTCGCATCAGAAGCCGTCAAACTCTTCACAAACGATTCAATCACATTCTCACTCTCTTCATCTTCTTCAACACCATCATCTCCATTACCAACACTTCCAGAACCTTCCACCACAAACCTACTACTCGACTTCAATGGCATAAGCCGAAACTTCACGAAAACTTCATCAGTAACAGTATCAGCATAAAAACTTCTATCAAGAACACGACACTCCACAAAAGATCTCGAAGTATCAATCGATGAGAGAGAAACTGGGTTCAAAGCTTGTTCCAAGTACCCTTGAGGAAAGAAGTAAACCCTAGAATCTTTCTTTGGTACATGAATTAAGCTTCCTTGTATAATCTTCGCTAATGCAGCACTCAATTCCTTCTCCTGCTGCTGCTGCTGCTGCTGCGGCTGCTGTTTCTGCTGAGTACAGCTTCGTCGTTGACGTTGATCCGCCATTGAAATTCAGATGACAAGATTCACCCAAACAAGGGCAAAATCAAGAACAATTCAATTGAATTTTGGGAATTATCTAGAGTTTTGTTTCAGAAGAATTTAATTTGTGTTTTTTTTCTCTTTCTTGTTTGTTGTTGTTTTCTCTCTCTAAAAATCTCGCTCTCACACTCGTCTGTTAGGACTTAAGGAGTAATATAAGGGGGGGTGGATGAATTTGGTAGAGACGAGACGACTGGTAAAATGACTAATCTACCCTTGTCATGATAATTACAGTGATTAATCCTCTTAATTAGCCACGCGATTTACAGCGCGTGTTGTTTGTTTCAGCTGTAAAACAGGATTTGATTAGAGCGTGAAAAAATAAAACCAGTTTCAGTGTAATTAGGGTTAAGACAGTGGTTTTGGAAAACCGCAGCATTTGTTTCAGTAGTAGAGTAAATAAATACTGGAAATGACGAAAATGTCCCTTGCAAGGGTTAAAATATGTCGTACACTTGTTTAAAATTGAAAAATCTAAGCAGTTAGAGAATTCAGAAATTTAAGGGATAGGTAAAAAATGAATCTAAGCTGAAAACATGATAAAATTACTATTGTTATAAAATTAATTAATTAATTTGAGTGTTTGAAAAATAAGATAATTATGAAAGTACAGTGAAATTAAAAGAACAGAATTTCCGTTAGGTAAATATTATAAAAGATAAAAAGGAATTTGGTATTTGTTAGTACAGTAAAAAATTAAGATTTAAAATATCTTTAACAGAATTAGTAAAATTCTCATGGTTTACTTAGTCTACTACTCACACTCCCTAAAAAGATGTTTGTGGTTTGTTTTTGTAATTTGGAGTTGTTGATTTTTAGTCATTTTTATCTTATGTATTGGGACACTTAAGATTAGGTATAGGACAACTATCCCAAAATTCAAGTTTTTACTAGTAGATTTTTAAAGATGAGTGTCATGTATTGGACACGAGTCACAAATTTTGTGTACATGATGTTTATTGTTTCGAATGGATTTTACAACTTTAAACAAATTAATGTGACATATTGAAATAAAAAACAGGCAATTGTAAAGTAAAAATTTACTTCTAGTTTTTTTTTTAAAATAATTAAAAAAAAACCGAAAATATAAAACAATATTGAACTTTTCGTTAAATAACAATTTTTGTTTAATTATTAAAAGAAATTATTTTAAAAAATCGTAACGGATTATAATTAGCCGAATCAATTTAAAAGTAACTCTAAATTTATACAAAGTATACTAAGCTAGCCCAAAGTTTTTTACTCCATAGATTTAGGCTACGGATCTTAGTTTTTGAATCAATCCAACACAACACACAGTCACACAGTGAGCTAGTTTCACAAAATACTTGGCTTTCACTTATCATCAAGGGATTCTTCTATCTCACATTTATATACATAAATCTTCTTAATTTTTGGATATTGTTTGGGTCCAATTTAGTCCAATTGGGCTTAGGCATTAAATGATCCAATTAAAAGCCCAAGGTCAAGGTTCATCTCTCCAATTGTGCTAAAGTCAAAGATCAATCCTCAAGGCAAGCCAATTGGGCTAAGGCCCAACTTCTCCATGTATGAAGAGGTATAAAAGCCATCAATATTACATTTTTACATTCATTCTCATATATTCAAGCAAAGCCTCAAGCAACTAATTCTCTTGCATAGTGTTCTCTTTCTACACATTGTACTGACTTTAGCATCGGAGGGGCCTTCCTCGGCAACACCCCCAAGGCTAGTTTACGTGTGTTTACTGTGCAGGAAACCTTCGGCCCAACATTTCTTGGATCGAATCTAGTCTTCACCACTTCATCGGACCTTCGGCAAGGTCCCATTGTTTTCACCCGAAACAATTTGGCGCCGTCTGTGGGGAAGACTTTCAAAAATCTTTAAGCCAAATTTCTAACCAAGATCATCTTGCAATTATCTTAGTAGCAATGGCTAAGAACCGCAAGAGTAAAGGCCTCCGTCAAGGAGCGGGCGAAAAGCCTAAAACCCCTACACCATCACCCTCGCCGGACCGGAACTCTCCTTAGGGTGCCAGCTCGGGGAGAGGATCATACAAGGAGGATTCCCTTTCTCCCGTAATTCGTGACTCTCATCATAGGCCGAGTCACTCTCGGTCTATCAGGGGTGAGTCCGATCATATGACACATTCAGTGCCCCAAAGCCAACCATCGACTGTGCGCCCTCATTCCCATACTCGGCCGAGGACCCCTTTGACGGGGCCCAGCTCGGAAGAGGTGGCAAGAGCGCTGACAGTGCTCATGGAGGCGATGAGGGCACAAAATATGCCACCACCTCGTGATCGAACTCCTCCGCATACCCGGCATCAGCGGAGGAAGCTAGACCATGATGGTGGGAAGCTTCCTTCCTTCCGGGAACTGGAAGAGTGGGAAGAGGATACCTGGAAAAATGAAAAAGAGAGGAAAAAGAACCCTCAATTTTTAAAAGGATCCTCATCCTCCCGACCAGAAACGCATAAGAGCAGCAGCTCAGCTTCTCGGCCAGAATCTACTCACCGAGAACCTGAGACTGTTCGCCGAAGAGTCCTCGACCGACTCGGCGGCAAGGAACAAGGGCGTGCGCAGTCGCCTCTCGTTCCCTGCAGCCGAGGCCCAGACTTCCCAGCCAGGGACGAAAACCACTCCTACCTCTCTAAGAGGGCGGAGCGCGGTCCCTTCGGCCAGGAACAAGGGCAAGGCCGTTATGCTACCCGCTAGTTCGTCATTCGAGCAATGGATACTGGAAGAGCACGTGCCCACGGTTAAAATACCGTCGCACATCACATATGACGGGACCTCGGATCCGAAGGACCACGTGGCCTCTTATGAGACTCATATGCATCTTTGCCCCAGATCCGAAGCGACTTGGTGCAAATATTTCCCAACCACTCTCAAGGGGGTCGCGCAACCGTGGATCTCCAAGGGAGTAAAGCAAGGCTCCATAACAGGGTGGGATGATCTGTCCTCCAAATTTAGGAGCAAGTTTTCCACGGCAAACCGCCGAGAGAAGACTACTGCAGAACTCATGAGTCTACAACAGGGGGAAACCGAAAGCCTCCGAGACTATCTGACCCGTTTCAGTAACGAGTCATCCAGCATCTCTCAGCTGGACCAGGGGCTAGCCGTTTTTGTAATGCAGAATGGTCTTCAGCCCGGGAAGTTCCTAGACTTTATGGTCATGCATACCCCGCAGACCCTGGAGGAAGCTCTAAATGCCTCGGATAAGTTCATCCGAGCCGAAGAATGGAACAAAGCGAAAACCCAACCTCAATTCGGGGGAGGGAAACAAAAACAAATACCCTTGTCTGAAGGCCAAGGCCATAAGGCAAAGGGAAAGTCAAAGGCCTCGGAGCAATCTTCGGCCAGCGACCCAAAGAAGGAAAAATCTGCCTCATACACAGGCAGATACGAGTCCTACACTCCGCTCTCTCTTCCACGCGCCAAAATTTACAGCGTGACGAAGGAGGAGCAGAGTTACCGAAAGCCGAGACCACTCCCAGAGTGGTATCAGCGGAAAAATAAAAATCAGTGGTGCGAGTTCCACGAGTCTCCGGGACACAACACTGAGGAGTGTATCCAACTGAAGGACCAGATAGAGGACATGGTCCGGAAGGGATACTTGAAAAAATACATCGCGGATCACCGCGAGAAAAAAGAGTCCGAGAAGTCAGCAAAGGACTCTCGGCAAGACCTCGACTTCCTCCGGAAGAACAGTAAAAAGCCGGAGGGGAAATTCTCTCCGATCAATGTTATCTCGGGAGGAATATACTCTCGGAGGGAGCACAAGCGACACCTTAGAGCTTTGACTCACCAGGTGAACAACGCTGACATTCAGTCTCCCCAATCGCCGGTGCCGAACATGACGTTCACAGCCGCCGACTGCCGGGGGATAACGTTCCCTCACGAGGATCCGTTGGTGATCATCGCCACGGTGGCCAACCACGACGTCAGTAAGGTCCTTGTTGACGGTGGCAGCGAAGCAAACATTCTGTTCCGAAAGGCCTACAATCAAATCAAGCTGAAGCCCAAGCACCTTACGCCGGTACCCTACCCGGTATCCGGGTTCAACGGGGCTTCAACTTATCCAGATGGGAAGGTGACACTTCCTATCACCATCGGCTGCGATGAGGCAGCTAGGAACGTCATGATTGAATTTTTGGTCATTGACACTCCTTCAGTGTACAACGTGATTTTGGGGAGACCCATAATTCATGAGATCCAAGGGGTCGTCTCAACTTATCATCAGCTGATGATTTACGTCTCAGACGCCGGCTTCCCCGAGAGGATACAAGGCAACCAAAAGGACGCCCGAAGGTGCAACTACCTCAAGCCATCCAGTAGTCGCCCAGATGACGACAAGGATGAGGAGGAGAAAGAAAAAGAAAGAGAGCTAAGCACAAAAAAGCCGAAAGGCCTAAGTGCTTCGGCCCAAGGATCTGAACCCAGAGGTAAAGGGCCCGAAAGGGAAAAGGCTAGCTCTTCAGCTGAACAGCAAGACTCAGAGAGCCAGCCGAAGAACAAAAAGACTAGGACACCTGCTGACATAGGCAGCAGGCCAGATTATGAAGAGTCCAGTCCATCAGCAATGGACATGGACCAACAGACTGAAACAGTTGAGTTGGCCGAAGGAGACGTTGAGAAATGTGTAACAATCGGGATGGACCTTGATCCGAACACCCGTTGTGAACTTATTCATCTCCTTCGGGACAACAGAGATGTGTTTGATTTCTCGGCAGCTGATATGCCCGGGATAAGTTCAGACCTCATCTCCTATAAGCTTAATGTTGACCCAACGTGTCGACCAGTTAAGCAAAAGAAGCGGAATTACTCCGCTAATAAGAACCGAGACATCGCAGCCGAGGTCAAAAAATTGCTGGAGGCAGGCTTCATCGAACCTTGCCAATATCCAGAATGGCTGGCAAATGTGGTGATGGTTCAGAAGGCCAATGGTACCTGGAGGATGTGCGTTGACTTCACGGACCTAAATAAGGCTTGTCCGAAGGATTTCTATCCCTTGCCGAGGATCGATCAGCTAGTCGATTCGACAAGTGGCCATGCCTTGCTTAGTTTCATGGACGCATTCTCGGGGTATCATCAGATCTTCATGCACCCCGACGATCGAGCAAAGACAGCATTCGTCACGAACGCTGGGGTGTACAATTACAAAATGATGCCCTTCGGATTGAAAAATGCGGGGGCAACCTATCAAAGGCTGGTGGATCAAGTTTTTGCCGATCAAAAGGGCCGAAACATGGAAGTCTATGTCGACGATTCGATCGTCAAAAGCAAAAAACC